TGCTCTCTTTGTGTTGGCCGGCGGAGGGGTCTCATGTTCTTGCGGGATGTTCTTCTGGCCTACAGTCAACCGGCATAGTAAGGACGGGCGACCTTCCCAAGGGTACCCTTGCATCCTTGCCCCTTCTGCCCATCCTTGGCCACTTTCGCTGCTGGCCGCGCCCCGCTCGAAGAGCCTCGAGATGGCCCTCCGAGGCCCTTGCGTCCTCATCGTGCGTCCTGGCGATCCGGGTTGACTGTAGGTCCGACTGTACCGCGGGGGCCCCAAACGGGGCGGTGACCACACCGTGTGGTGAGTCGTTGGGGATTTGGGGTCACCGCACGGTTCTGGGACTTGGGTCGTTCTCCGAGGACGTCTCGGGCGATTGGGGCATCCGAGGTCCCCAAATCCGTGCGTGCACGGACCGTGCGGTGAGGTTTTGGGGGATTTCGAGGTCACCGCACGGTCTCTCACCGCACCGTTCCGGGACTCCAGAAGTACCCCCCTCGTGCGCGCCGCCATCCATCGTTGAGCGAGCCAGCGGTGCCGCATGCGGGGCCCGAACGCCCCTCCGCTCCGCGCGAGCGCGCCTGGGCGGGGCCCTCTGCGAGGGGGGGCCCTGGGAGGCGGCTCGCTGCCGGGAGGAGCGGCACCAGAAGCAGAAGCAGCAGGAGAGGGGGGCGGTCAGGATCACGAGCGGGGAGGAGGAGGACGGGGGAGAAGGACGGGGAGGAGGAGGGAGGGAGGGAGGGAGGGAGGGAGTGGAGGGAGGGAGGGAGGGAGGGAGGGAGGGGGGGGAGGGGGAGGAGGGAGGGAGGGAGGGAGGGAGGGGGGAGGGAGGGAGGGAGGGAGGGAGGGAGGGAGGGGAGGGAGGGAGGGAGGGAGGGAGGGAGGGAGGGAGGGAGGGAGGGAGGAGGGAGGGAGGGAGGGAGGGAGGGAGGGAGGGAGGGAGGGAGGGAGGGAGGGAGGGAGGGGAGGAGGAGGAGGAGGAGGAGGAGGAGGAGGAGGAGAGGAGGAGAGGAGAGGAGGAGGAGGAGGAGGAGGAGGAGGAGGAGGAGGAGGAGGAGGAGGAGGAGGAGGAGGAGGAGGAGGAGGAGGAGGAGGAGGGGAGGAGGAGGAGGAGGAGGAGGAGGAGGAGGAGGAGGAGGAGGAGGAGGAGGAGGAGGAGGAGGAGGAGGAGGAGGAGGAGGAGGAGGAGGAGGAGGAGGAGGAGGAGGAGGAGGGGAGGAGGAGGAGGGAGGAGGAGGAGGAGGAGGAGGAGGAGGAGAACGAGGAGGAGGGGGAGGAGGAGGAGGAGGAGGAGGAGGAGGAGGAGGAGGGAGGAGGAGGAGGAGGAGGAGGAGGAGGAGGAGGAGGAGGGGAGGAGGAGGACGTGGAGGAGACGGGGAGGAGGAGGAGGAGGGGGAGGGAGGAGGAGGAGGAGGAGGAGGAGGAGGAGGGGAGGAGGGAGGAGGAGGAGGAGGAGGAGGAGGAAAGGGATGAGGAAAGGGAGGAGGAAAGGGAGGAGGAGGAATGGGAGGATGAGGAGGGGGGAAGCGTGTGTTGGAGTATTTCTTTTCAGGGGCCACTCCAACAGTACACTGCCTGTCGAGGATGGGCCACGAGCTGGAGCCCAAGTGTCCCTACTTCGGCTTGCACGATTCTGTTTTGGACCGCATCTGATAACCTCTTCACGGGGATTAAGGCACGTGCTCAGGCAGACCATACTATTGTTGAAGCAGCTCTAGCCTCTGAAGGGAAGGATCCACTGTACATGCATTCGTGGATTCCCATGCGCGAGGTCTTGACCCCACCCCCTGAGGAGGAGAAGTTGCAGCACTTGCACAGCGGAACGCCATTGAAGAGTTTGATTACGCGTGCCCGTTGCCGATATGATTGCAATTAAGCTTTATAGAACCTACCCAGCCCCTCCTTGCTCGTGCAGGGTGGGCTGTCGCCCAGATCACTGCTAGAGGGGACCTCGAACGAGCAGCGCGAGTGTCTCTCCCACCATACTATCCTCAGGGTGCCACGTGGGCAGAGCATCACGGCTTGTTGCATATTCTGCGTCATCTGTGGCAAGGCTCAGACGACATAGAGGAGGAAGGTGAACCGTTCGCGGATTGTAGAGCCCTCATCAGTGGCTGTTTTTTCTCATCACGCGCTTGACGATTCGACTCAGCAGGCGAGGCATTGGCGCCAGATCCGCAGAATGAACACAGGGTATCTGATTCAAACGGTTGTTGCTCACCAGAGTTTGGCCAGAGGAGATGGAATTTGGGACGAGCAGTTAGCGGTGGTCGGGAATGCTTGGGCGGACACTTCGTACCGTGAGGCCGCTCGCAGACTCGTTTGCCCCCAGGACGCCGAACATGTTAAATATTAGTTTTGCGGTTGGTTTCATTTTTTTAATAGCTACGCAGGCGGCTGTGGCTATCCTCTGGCAATAGCCGCCAGCGCGAGAGTTGTTAGGATCTTTAGGGGCCAGTTTCCCAGGCCCCCCCCCCCGAAATATACAGCAGCACCACGTCTTGTGGAATGGCCGCATTTGGCAAATGCATCAAGTGTGCACGGAGTTCCCGTGAGCCGCTAAGTCGGAGCAATTGTTGATGCCGTTTTCCGCCCAGTGTCGGGACCTTGGTCGAGGGAAACGCGTTGAACCTCGACACACCTTTTGGGCGGCTCGGGTAGCCAGCTCCACAATCCCAGTTCTATATTTTGCAGCAGGTGTGGGTCGTATCGTGCCCGCTCGCTCCCCCAGGCACCTTCTCTCGGGCTGTGGCAGAGTGATTGTAACTCGGGTGCGTTCTGTTCGCCGTGGCGAGCTGCAGTTTACAAAAGAGACCCGACCCACCCGACCCTGGATCCGAGGCGGGATTTTATACATGACCACCGCCTGGAGGATCAATTTTCGGGGACCTCGCACGCGGTGGATATGGATATATTCGGGCCCCCCCGGGGGCCACAATATATCCATATCCACCGCCCGCAGGGGCACCAGGACGTCGTTTCCCAGGCGGTGGATATGGATAACTCCCCGCCTCGCACTGGAGGATCCGCCTCAATGCTGCAGTGCGGTGGGCCCAGGGGTGGAGCAGTCCTCTTTTGCACAGGGTGGGGGCGGCACTGTGCCCTGGGGAGGTGCCCCCCGCCATTGCCTCTTCTTCTGCGTCTGCACAGGGTGGGCGCGGCACTGCGCCCTCGGAGCGTGCCCCCACTGCTGCTCCCGTCTGCCTCGCAGCTGCCGGCTCGAGCCAGGGCACCAGGCAGCCTCTGGCACAGGTCGCAAAGTCGCCCTTCGCCGAGGGAGACGAGCGCCCGGCTGTGGCGGCAGCGCGCCCCCCTCGGCGAGGATGACCGCTCGGTCGCGCAAGCCGGCGAGCGAGCGAGGCAAGCCCCGCCAGCGTCCTCAGTGGTCGTGGCTGGGCCGCACTTGGTTTCTCTGTCCCTCGTCTGGGCTGGCCCCGCTGCGCTGCTGCGTGCTTTTGCGCCCGTGCTGCCTCCGGAGAGCTGGCGCTCCGTCGGATCTCCTTGGAGCAGCCCTCCAGAGCGTTTTTTCTGTTGAGCGTGAAGGGACGAGGGGGAATCTTCAGCTGTCCCTTCGTGCTGCCTATGAGTGGGTGAAGGAGGAGGGGGGGGGAGGAGCAGGAGCGGGAGCACGATCCAGCGGCAGGAGCGGGGGGCCCAGGAGGGCGCAGACTGCTGGTCCCAGGGTTGCGGAGGCCAGTTCCAGTGTCCCTTCTCTTCCTTCCCCCGTTCCTCCTCCCTCCTCGTCCCGCTCGCGCTCGCCCTCCAACACGGCCCGCTCACTGACCCACGCGGTCGCTGGCGTGGTCCTTGCGAATGAAGCGGGCCGGCAGGTCTGCTGTGGTCGCCCCCCCCCCCCCACCACCGCCGACGGGTCCGCTAAGGCCGCGGTCGGTGATGGAGTATGAGGAGGAGGATGAGGAGAGGGCAGACGAGGAGGAGGAGGAGGAGGAGGAGGTTGAGGAGGAGGAGGAGGAAGAGGAGGAGGAGGAGGAGGAGGGGGAAGAGCTGGATGAGGAGGAGGAGGAGGAGGACGAGGAGGAGGAGGAGGAGGAGGAGGGGGAGGAGGAGGAGGAGGAGGAGGAGGAGGAGGAGGAGGAGGAGGAGGAGGAGGAGGAGGGGGGGGAGCAGCATTCTGAGGCAACAGAGTCTGTAGGCCCCGTCGGGCGTACCCCCTCTCCCCTAGGAGCGGCCCTCGTTTTCAAACGTGCGGTCGTTCCTGTCAAGCAGTTGCGAATCGCCCTGGCTTGCCTATAGGCCCAACAGAACATGTCCTCATAATTTTGTTTGGTTTACGAAAGACGTGATTTTAGCATGTTTGCCTGTCTGGTTTGTTCTAAGAGCACTGCTGTTGTTCTCAGAGCACGTTGGGTTCTAAGAGCATGTCGTGGTAGGCCTATGACACATGCCGGGACGGTCGGCCCTTGCTCGATCCTGGGGGCGGAGTGCGCCGGCAGAGCGCGGCTGGCTGGACACGCGGGCCCGCCCGCGGAGGAGCGGGAGGAGCCCTGGCAGCCGCAGAAGCAGCAGCCGGAGCAGGTCGAACAGAGGGGCCGAACGGGGAGGGAGCAGACGAGGCGGCGGAACGAGGGCCAGCATGGTCTCAGTCGGATATAGCCAGGGCGGCAGGCAAGGGGGCCCTGGTTAGTGGTGGGGCCTCGGAGCCCCCTGCGGTGGCCAGAGTCACGAAGCCAGGTCTGCCGCAGCTGGTGTTTTTCAGGTGGCGGCAGTTCCGGTTAGTGGAAAGGGGCGGCGAGGGCGTCCCCCAGCACGCAGCACTAAACCAGGTCCCACTAAGCCCAGCTCTGCCAATGTCCGGCTCAGAGGGGGCTTGGGGGTCCATGAGCCACTCCCCGGGACCCCCTCGTGCAAGTGAGCGCAGCTTGGGCTAAACAGGGGTCTCGTTTTCTGCCTGGCTGCTGCTGGCAAGACCTTGAAATGCCCCCCCCAGTCGCCGCGCTTCCTGGGCCCTGGATCGTGTCCAGCCGCCCGGCCCCCCGTGCGGCGCTTGCGAGGTGCAGCGGCGACTCCAACGCCAGGCGCCGGATAGCCGACCAGCTACGCGAGCACGTAGGCGAGGAGGCGCCATGGCCCTCCTCCTCCTCCCCCTCCTCCTCCTCCTCCTCCTCCTCCTCCTCCTCCTCCTCCTCCTCCTCCTCCTCCTCCTCCTCCTCCTCCTCCTCCTCCTCCTCCCTCCGCCTCACTTTTGCCTCCCCGCTTGCCTGGCCCCCCGGCTTCCTCCCTTCCCCTCTCCCTTTCCTCCTCATCTTCCTCCAAAGAAGAAGAAGACATAAACATAACATGAACAGAACTTCTCGGCGGTCCGCTTAGATTTCTTAGATCTGCGCCGGGCCCCCTGGCAGCGCCTCTGGCGCCGCCCTCGGCGCGCTGGCGCGCTCCGCGCGCCAGGGAGGGGGGTCCGGCGCCGATCCGCGAAGGCCGCGCGAAACCGCCGATCAGCTCATGCCGTTTATGGTTCCTCCACTCTTCAGGAGGGAATAAACACAGGCACAATTAATCGGCGATTCCTTGGAAAATACGGAAACTATGGGAGTGTGGGGAGGGAGACAAAAACCCAGAAAATAGGGGAAAGCATGGGGAATCTGGTTATCTTCGTGTGTATTTGATTGTGCGTCCTTGGGCCCCTTGGCACTCCTGCTCTCCCGCTCTGCCCTCCCATTCCCTGCTGTCGAAGCCATGCATAAGGCCTCCTTCTCGGTCTTTGACCGGCGACCCCGAAGCGCGGAGGCCGCGTCTTCCGCCGCCGCCGCCTCGTGCTCCTCTTCCCTCCCCTCTCAGCTTCCCTTTCATCCTCCTCCTCCTTCCCTCCTCGCCTGCTCCTCATCCTCTCCTCCTCGTCTTCCCTCCTCCTCCTCTTCCCTCCTCTTCCCTCCGCCTCCTCCACCTCCTCCTCCAACTCCTCCTCTTCCCTCCTTCTCTTTCCCAGCTCCCCTCCTCTTTTTCCCTCCTCCTCTTCCTTTCCTTTGCCGCCATCGCCCGCCTGCCCCGCCTCTCCCCCGCCCTCGTGGAGCCCCCCCCGAGGAGTTCAGTCGCTTGGAGGCCGCGGCGGCCACGCGGCGGCTTCTCCAGGAGCTGCGCGAGGCTCGCGCGCGCGCTCTGCCCTCCGGGCGCGGGAGGCGGGGCCGGGGTGAAGTCCGGGCCTGTCCCTCAATGTTCAAAATCAGTCAACACATAGTCCGGGGACGATTTGCTCAGTTTTTTTTTGAATCTGTTGCTTCGCCCGAAATCCGCCTGCAGGGGGACACGCCCGACCTCAGGCCAGAGGGGGGGGGGAAGTGCGGAGGATGTGGGCCCTTGTGCTGGCACAGACCGCTGGGTGTCCTACAATGGAAGAAGCTGCGCCGCCGCGGCGTCCGCGCCTAGGCTTCCCACGTAGGGTCGCGCGCAGGCGCCCTCTTCTCCACGCGGTGTGCCACGCTGGCGGCCCGCGTAAGCCACCGCGTAAGGTCGTCGTGTTATCGTTCGCAGCGTAAGACTCCGCCCTTATCGCGGCCTACGTATTCAGGTTCGCGTATAAACATCAAGTCCAGCCCATCCACTGACAATTCCCGGCCGCTTTTACATGAGAAGGCGAATGGATGAGCAGCAGTGAAACAAAAGGGGTGGAACCGGTCAAACCAACAGACGAATCAGCCCGAGCAGCCCGCAGATGGGCCTAAAAAGAGAGGACCTCGATCCACGTCCCCTTCGGAGCTCACAAGGTTGATTTCGCCGCGCCCCCTCAGGACTCTATTGGGATGCTCGTAGTCGGCCTTTGCTTCGGCCGGCGCACAGGCAACCCCCCAGATGCCCGCCGGTCGCTGGGAGTAGGTATTTTTGGGATGCCCAAGCCCCAATCTATTTGAGCCGCCTTCCTACTGCAAGAGGAGGAGGATGAGGAGGAGGAGGAGGAGGAGGCCGAATCAACAAAGCCACGTGAGGAGCACGCACGGTCAGGCTTCGGCCAGCGCACAGGCAGCCTCCCAGATGCCCGCCGGTCGCTGGGGGTAGGTATTTTTGGGATGCCCAAGCCCCAATCTATTTGAGCCGCCTTCCTGCTGCAAGAGTCGAGTGGCTGTCCCTCCTCCTTCCTCTTCAGGGGGCGGGCGGAAGCCCGATCTGCTTCCACCGCCTTCCTACTTCATGTTTCTACCCACTTCTTCCCACGAGCGAGGCGCGCGAGCATGGTCAGTCGGGGGCGAGCGAGGGGGGGAAGTGAGAAGGAGAAAGCCTTCTCAGAAGGCGGCGGGGCTTCTGGCCTTCTGAGAGTGCTTTCTGTGTCTCCGAAGCTTAGGGGGCTCCTCGGAAGGCCGATCTACAGGAGGAAAGTTCGAAAACAGTCAAGAAAATTGTCTGGGGACGATCTTTCGAGCATTTTTTGACGATCGCTGCATATCTGTGAGCTTAGGAAGCCTCTCGGCAGGCCGAAGGACTTCCGAGCCTTCCGAGGAGGCCCGCCCCTTCTCCAAGGGCGCCCTCGAGGGCGCGAAGTGATTCGCGCTTCGCGCTTCGCGCTTCGCGCTTCGGCTCCTCCTCACCCTCCACTTCCCCCCTGGGAGGCGCCCTCGAGGGCGCGAAGTCATTCGCCCTTCGCGCTTCGCGCAGCGCGATGGCGCGGAGTTGGGAGCCCTTGCTCTCGGAAGGCCGAGGAACTTCCGAGCCTTCCTAGGATCGGGGGAGCGTAAGACCCGGGTTTGCCAGGACTCGGGTTCGCCATCGTTTTTTGACGACCGCGCCTCGGATTTTGACGAGGAGTAGTTTCGTGGGATGTCTGCGGCGGGAGGCCTCGTCAAAATGCAGGTTCGGCCTCGTCATTTTTTTGACGACCTCGTCGGTGATTTCCGAGTCCCCTGTACCCGGGTCTTACGTCCCCCCGATAGGAGGCCCGCCCCTCCTCCCTTCCCCCCCCCCCTCGGGGCGCGCGGCGCCCACCCCCCCCCCCCCCCCCAGAGAGTCCCGGCCGGCCTCAAAGGGCCGTCCGAGGAGTCCCAGCTCTCGGGGGCCCCCAGGCGTCAGGAGGGAAGAAGACACACAGACACAATTCATCCTCGATTCCCCAGAAAGTATGAGAAACTATGGGAAGTGGGGGGGGAGACAAAAGCCCAGAAAATACAGGGAAATATAGGGAAATCCTGTTATTTGCGTGTTTTTATTTGTGTGTCCCAGGGCCCCTTCAAAACGGGGTTTAGGGGGCCACGTGCGAACCCTGCCCCTACCCCCCACGATTTCTGAGGGGGAGGGTGGGGTTCGCTTCGCTCGGGAGCTCCCGAAGTAAGTGGAGCTCCCCCTCAGAAGTCGTGGGGGGTAGGGGTAGGGTTCGCATGTGGCCCTCTAACCGTGTGGTGAGTCGGTGGGGATTCGGGGCCACCGCACGGTTTTAGGACTCGGTCGCCGTCGATCCTGGTCAGCGTCAGCTCGAGGGTCCTCCTCGCGACTCGGCGACGGCCGACACGGACCATCACCACGAGTGGATCCCGCGGAGCCTTGGTCATGGTCCCCCTCCCCCGTCGCGACCTCCACCCCTTCCCCCCTTCCCCCTGCCGCTCTCCTCTCGCCCTGGAGACGCCCGGGGGGTGCCTGAGATGGTGGCCCGGGCCCCAGAGCGGCGGTCAGGAGGCGGGAGTGAGGCCAAGTCCGCTCAGAATCGGCCCACGGACTTCTCCCCGGGTTCATCTGGTGCCGTTTTCCACCCCAGAGGTGTGTTTTTTCACGCGCCTGAACTGGTGGCTGGGGCCCCAGAACGTCGGTCAGGAGATGGGAGTGAGGCCAAGTCCGCTCAGAATCGGCCCACGGACTTCTCCCCGGGTTCATTTGGTGCCGATGTCCATCCCAGAGGTGTGTTTTTCACTGTCGACTCCGCCGTGGCACTGGTCAGGTGTCAACGCGCGATTTCGATCAAGTTTCTTTCCAGCAACCCCCGTTCATGTACTGCTTCCTCCTGAGCCGCATTTTCAGCAAATCGGCGCTGGCGAAGAAAGGTCCGACGCACAGATGTTCCTCAGAATTTCCTTCGCTTCCTGGCATCAGGAATGATTCCCCCATCAGTGCTCACTACCGGAAGAAGGGAGGTGCTTGGGTGGGAAGGCTTCAGGTTGCGCGCGCACGCCCCCCCAGGCGGCCCTGGCTGACCTTACTTACCAGGCACCTCAACAGGCCCCCCGAGTAGTCCGGGGCAGTCTTTAACACCCTTCCTCCTCCTCCTCCTCCTCCTCCTCCTCCTCCTCCTCCTCCTCCTTCTCCTCCTCCACAATTACTCAATATGAATACTAC